GAGAGAGAGAGAGAGAGAGAGAGAGAGAGAGAGAGAGAGAGAGAGAGAGAGAGAGAGAGACTGTGAGGTTGAGTGATTCAAGAGCAGAGAAAGAGAGAGAGCGGACGACGGTTACTTATCTGAATCGAGGCCGAGTCTGTGTGAGCGTCAGAGACTGCAAGAGATCTGAACACTTTCTTTGTATAATAAAAGACATTTTGCGTATCAATCTCTCGTGTGATTCTTGTGTCTCGGCTATGGGCTCCAAGAGTGAACACTCATCTGGATGCTCGTTGCACGTGTGTGCGAGGTCGAGGGTGATCGACTTGCGAATCAGTGCACCATTTTGCTTCAATGGCCCCCAGCCTCCGAAGAATGTGGAATGTGCTATATTCACGACTTAGTCTTCCACTCTGAATGGTAGTGGTGGTTTAAAAGGGCCCTTGAGATGTCATCATCGAACTGATCAGCCCCAAGCAATTAAAGAATTGCATTCATCTCACTTCCATCTGGATTCGAACTCAGGTCGGTATTTCAACACTTCAGGGGTGTGAGCTAGGCCTGTGGGGTGCCCGTTGGTAGTCACCCCACACTGCCTAACTTCTTTTCTGCACGAAACCCAAGTTGTGCACCAATTCAAGTTTGTGCGATGTTGTTTGCAAATTTGTGTGCTGAATTTCAGAATCCCCTCAGTGCACCCACTGCAGGGCCTGTTCGCCCTTGCCGGAGTCTTAAGTGGCAGGTGCTTTCCTAACTTTTGGTCATTGGATGAGAATCATGAGATGCATCCGGTGACTGTGGAATGCATGACAGAAAAATTGAAAAAATCCTCGCATGTGAAGAGTTGGGCTGCAAGGAACTGCTCGGAGTAGTCCCTTTGGACTACCGCCTTCAGTGGAATAGAATGCACAGTCATTATAGCTGCATTTGCAGCAACTTTCAGTCCAGATGCAGGAACAATGCCTGGGCGTTCTAGATGTGTGTCGATAGTATGGTGTGCATTGAGCGGCCTTTGCATGAATAACTTGGTGGGTTGGTGAAAGAATCGTATGTCTGTGATATGCTTGAAAATAAAGAATTGCAGGAGTCATAGGTCGCAGCCCTCATGGTCCTCGAGGAACAGGAAGAAGCCATGATGAAGAAAACGAAATAAATAAAAATTAAACGGAAAGGAAAGAAAGTTTAAGAAACTGTCCGAACGAAAGCCTTTGCACTTGGTGCACAGGCATTTCTGCAATGTATGCTTACAGTAGGCATTATGACATGTTCCTCGAGGAACAGGAAGAAGCCATGATGAAGAAACAAAATAAATAAAAATTAAACGGAAAGGAAAAAGTTTCAGAAACTGTCCGAAAGCCTTTGCAATTGGTGCACGGGCATTTCTGCACTGTATGCTACTATGCTTACGTTAGGCATTATGACAAATAACAAATCTCACCAACAGTGCAAAGGAGCAATTCATTTGGGTGGTGTCGCAGTCGCCCATAAAATTAAGAAAGTCATCATTCGACCACCTGCTCACACAAGTGTTACATGCAGCGCGTGCACACACGGACCATTTTGCAGGCCCGACGGCCATTTTGCAGGCCCGACGGTGTTCAGGCCAAAAGCCCTGAACTTCAGGCCGAAAGCCTGAATTTCAGTCTGAAAGCCTGAAATCCAGGGCTTACAGGCCCCCTGTCGGTTCAGGCCAAAAGCCTGAACTTCAGGGCCTATCCCTGGTCATTTCAGACTAAAAATGGCAACAGCCTTTTTTTTTAGCCTGAAACGAAGGGCCATTCTCGGTCGTTCATCAGAACGACCGGCCCTGAAACTCAGGCACCGAACCAGGGTTTCGGAAACAGACTATTATTAGTCTGTTTCCCACACCAGCCTCAAGCAGGCTGCTGCACGCCAGCCCCTGGCACATTTCGGCATTGGCAAGAGCTGCCTCCTCGGCCTGACTGGCCTCCAGCAGTCAGGAGGCAGGCCGAGGTAGTACATAGGACTTCCGAGGCACTTCCGAGGTAGGCAGTCGGCAGTTGTAGTCTTCAGGATTCGGGAGCAGCACTCTGGAGGGAGCGCTGCGTTGTAGAGTAGTAGCGTTAGCTTGTAGTCTTCAGCGCTGGGCGCAGTAGGTAGCTGTAGTCTCCAGCGCTGGGCGCCATAGCTAGGATAGTGTTAGTGAATGAGGTCAGTCCTGTCAGGTTAGTCTCTGTATCAAAGTCTTCCCTGCGCTCTTCAGCATCTTTATGTATGAATGAGAATGTACATTGCTTGTCGAGATTCTACTCGTACCGCATTGTCTATTCAGTCCTTTTCATCACATTGCAGATTCTCGGTTTATTGCATACATTGCATATCTGTGCATGTTACACAAGCCTGCGTGGTGTCGCAGTCGCCCATAAAATTAATAAAGTCATCATTCTGCAACCTGCTCACACAAGCCTAAGTTGTTGAAGCCACCTTCCAAGGCTCACGAGGCTGCAACTCCGCCTTTCAGAGCGGCCTGCCACTTTCACTACAGGCCGAGGCCCGAAGCCAAGTGCGCTTACCACGTGTACCGATAAGAGCGCTGCTTAGGCTTGTGTGAACTGGCGGTTTTATGGCGAATAAGGGATCTGGGTAAACGTTTAAGTGCGAAATGAGAGAAAATTCTGCTCGGAATCACTCTGACCGTACGGTAGAAGAATGTGAGGTGCATCAGATGGACGACAGATACGTAAGGAGAAAGAAATGTACTGGAGGGAAAATTGTGACCAGAAGGAGAAGCTGGAACACACAAAATCAATGGATGAACGAAAAGTTCGAAAAAGAAGATGGTCCAACGGGGTCTGTGCACTTAAACTTGCAATCACTTCATGTGACCTCAGATGCACCCAATGGGTTTGAGCCTTTGAGACTGACAAAGGGTAGCCATCTCATGAGGGAGAAACCAGTTTTATTTGCTTCTCAGGAAAAGAGGAAACTCCCAAGCAGACATAATTGAACTTCCAAAAAAACAAATGAATAAACAAAAAGTTCAGATTCTTCAGAAACAAAGAATTGTCGAACGGCGTTTGCAGTTTGGTGGCAGGCACTTCGTCCGATGAGATGCAGCCAAGTGGTGGGGAGAAACGAGTTGTATTTGTTTCTCGGGAAAAGAGGAAACTTCAAAGCAGAGCATAAGAAAATTTGCAAGACGTGGCAATGCCACAAGAGCCCAGCTTTTCGCGTTGACCACTCTTGGCAGCCTGACCAAGCCCCCCCCGCCCCGAAAAAAAAAAAAAAAAAAGTGTGGAGGCCTGTAAGTTGTCATGCACCCACGCTGCTAATGGATTTTTATTTTTTTATCGACGGCATGCCCAGCCTCCTGACACTTCAGGTACTAGTAGGCTACTACTTGGAAATTCGGAGGCTTGCAAGTCGTGGTGGTTTAAGACCTTTTTTTTTCCGTTGAGTTCCACAAAAGTTTTAAGCTGTACAGCTAAGGCTACCAGAGTGGCCCGGGGTCACTTGCCCGGCCGGGCCAAAAAAAATGAAAAAAATAAAAATAAAAACATTATTTTTAAATTTTATTTTTATTCTTAAATTGGTGAAGAATTTCGATGTGACGCCGAGGCAGAAGTTGTTCAGTTTATTTTTCTGCATAACATCGTTTTTTTTCGGATTTTTTTGATTTTTTTGATTTTTTTTTTTTTTGGGCTGTGACCTTCCCTGGTCCTTGCACGGGCTGGCCACCCGGGACCCGGGCGGCCCGGCTGGTAGCCTAGCTATACAGAATTTTTCCGTTCAAAAATTAGAATAGATCTATCCTTGACTTTCGCCGCCACCAAGTTGCACAGGATTTAAATTTTGAAGTTTAAACATTAAAGGTGTACTATCTATGTAACACGAGAGTCCTGTTGACATCAGTCAGTTGGTCAAGGAAGCATTTGCAGGAGAACTTTGAAAAAGGCAATATGCAAGTGACCGAATGCAAACACGCGGTTAACAGGGCCAAAAATCTGCCGTTTTCACCCAAAGTTTCGGTGCAAAACTCAGCGAAATTTTTTAAAAACGAACTATATGTGCCCATAGCTCGAAGTTCAAACATTAAAAAAAAAAAAAAGAACAGCCCAAAGAAAACAAAAATAAAAAACAAAAAAAGTTCAAAAACACTGTAAAACCCTAACACAAAAACACATTTCGAGTTAAACTGAAGTGTTCAACGAATCCAACGAAACGCCAACTTTTTCATTAATGATCCAAACATGGCAAAACTGGACACATGACATACCCTAAAGCACCTGCATAGCACACACACAAAAAAAAAAAAAAAAGACAAGAAAAACATAAAATCAGGGCACAAAAAATTGTGAACGACACCTGTCGCTCGTGTTGTGCGGTACAGAAACCTAAATTATCATGCCTGGTGATGGTGACTGCAATGTTTGCAGATATACCCGCACATATCACTGATTATTTGCCGCAGACTGTCCGAGAGCGCGCAGCAGGGGGAGCAGCCACTGCTGCTGCATCTACTCCAGGAGTTCAGGGAGCCGGTGACGAATCCATGAGCCGCGGCAAGAAGCGACGCCGGCCGGTTTTGTGTTCGCCAGCAAAACCGACAGAGCATAGTTCCTTGCCCACAGCACCACAGTCACCTCTGTGTCGGGTTAATGATGCAAGGATCTCAGCAGACCCATCGACGGAAGCAAGCAACACTTTGGCGGCAAACGTGGGTAAGAGTCAAGAGGACATCAAGGCATCGAGTCTGGCGGATGATGCTCCCAAGCCGAAACGGCGGATCTTTCCGGTTTCTGTGGAAAAGAGTGCACATGGTGGCACTGAGAGGGTGGCTCCTGTTCAAACAGAAGACGTCAAGAAGTCCGAAACAGTACAGGATTCAGTTGCCGAGCAGCCTCCAAGGCCTAAACGCCGTATTGTGCCGGTAATGGTCACAAAGCCTGCTGAAGATGAGTGTGACCACGAAGTAGCTCGTTCACAGGGATTTGGTGCTGCCATGGAAGTTGGAGTTGGTCAAAGTAGTCGCATCAGTGGTCAGGACAGCAGGGCGAGCGGAAGTGAGCAGAAAGATGTTCCGACTGACATCGAGCCTCCAAAGACAAAGCGTCGAATCGTACCGATGGCCGTGCCTGTGGAAAAGCGTGCAGAAGCCGGAGAGAAGCGCCGTATCGTACCTGTAGCCATGTCGGCAGAAAAGCCTGCAGGAGGTGGAGGGAAGCGCCTTATCGTACCAGTAGCCATGTCGGCGGAAAAGCCTGCAGAAGCTGGAGGGAAGCGCCGTATCGTACCAGTAGCCATGTCGGCGGAAAAGCCTGCAGAAGCTGGAGGGAAGCGCCGCATTGTACCGATAGCCTTGTCTATGGAAAACGAGACTGAAGCTGTAAAGACACGAAGGCAGCCTCCTCAGTTTCTGGACTTGGGCAAAAACGGTACAGGGGAGGAGTCAAGCGAACCTCTTCGAACCGGTGATGGTAGCAATTCCAGTCTGCGGAGTGAGAAACTGCTGGACAGCAAAGCCGAGTCAACTGGAGAAGAGAAGGGAAAAACGGAGTGCCAAACTGTGCCAGTGCAAGTGGGGAAACTTGCTGAAAGTGAAGCAGAAACAGAAGAACAACTGCAGGTGATTGTCGAGGCGAGGGAAAGGGGTGGAGCTCAGGATATGGAGGAAGAAGCTCGTGCGATCAAATCTGTCAGCGCTAGCAAGGAGGAGGTCGCTGGTTGCACAGGCGCAAACACTGTGGAATGCGTGAGGATCATTGCCGAGCCTGCTGGAAACATGCCCAGAACAGTCGTAGATTATGGATGTGATGCCGCGCAGGACTTGGTTTCTACAGAAAAAAGTGCTGTAAAGGAGGAAAGTGCCCATCCAGTGGTTAATCCTTGCCCAGACTGCGGTGCAAGTGTTTCTTTGGGCGGTGCAGGTGTTTCTCAAACGCTAAGCGACAAAGCTGCTGCACATGAACCATCGCCGGGCACTTTGCCGGTAAGCACCCCACCAACGGAAGATGACGCAATGGAAATATGTGAATAGCTCAGGGAGGGGCCTATGTTGCAGGCCCTGGATCCTTGTAACTGTTGGTCTCTGCAATCAATGAAGTGTTGGATCCCACATACTCTAGTTATGTTGTTGGTCGTACTGGGTGCCGTGCTACCAACAGTCTGATCGTGTTCGTGGCCATGCTGTGTGTGCCCGGCTGCTAATCTGGCCACCAGAGCTCTTTGCGATAGCTGGCTGCCACCCTTCTCTTCACGGGTTCGAGCTCACATCCACGTTCATGCTCTGATGATGTCAAAGGGCTCTCAAGCTCGACTCGTCAACACCGGAGAAGGCTTCAGCATTAGTCTGGTGTTGCTCGCTGTTTTTAGTGAGTTTTTGTCCTGTCGGTGAAGGTGAATTATGCTCGTCCGCTGGTCGTACTGTTTTCTGCTGACATGTTGTCTTGTTCTGGTACTTCATTGAACTTAGTTGGTGTGTGATGTTGTGTGGCAGTGCTCTTTTTTTTCTGATTGCGCGACAATGTTTATTAACTTCAGATGAGAAGTTTAGCAGGTCCTTTGTAATGTTTCTTCTGAGACTGTGTTGTCTTTTTTCCTGTGTTTTTTTTTTTTTTTTAACACACACACACACACACACACACACACACACACACACACACACACAC